TATCAGATCATGGATATACCTTAGGGCCAAAGTCCCGTTGTTTCTTGCCTAAATGTCCTTCTCCCAAATGTCTCAAATAGATGGTGCCAAACCATGACGTACCATGTCCATGGTTACAGGTTCTATTAGGATTGGTTCCATATAATCTTATATGTGAAACATCATATGATGATGTTTAATGTTATCTGTTATCTGAAGCGCCATAACCAGTGAGTGAGTGTGGTTTTACGCCGCTTATAGCAAAATTCCAGCAATATCACTACGGGGGTCACCAGACATGGGCTTCACACATTCTACCCATGTGGGGAATCGAACCCGGGCCTTCGGTGTGATGAGCGAACACGTTATTCCCGCCATGTCCATAGAGAACGTGTGTATAGGATATGTAGGCAGTAGAGGAAAGGGTAGAGATGTAGAGTCTCAAGGACTTTTACGTCCCTGGAATAATCCACAAAGTTGTTGATATCACTGGATATCTCAAACCCGCTATTCTTGATATCCTGTCCTCAAAGGATATGTTTAGTCTGTTTAGTCATACATTAACTATTGTCGATCATGATACACACGTGATCTATTCGGCCCTTGAATCCCCAATAGACAACCATGACACACTAGGTTTCTGTTCTGTTCTTGAATCCCCAATAGACAATCATGACACACTAGGTTTCTGTTCTGTCCTTGAATCCCCAATAGACAATCATGACACACTAGGTTTCTGTTCTGCCCTTGAATCCCCAATAGACAACCACGACACACTAGGTTTCTGTTCTGTCCTTGAATCCCCAATAGACAATCATGACACACTAGGTTTCTGTTCTGCCCTTGAATCCCCAACAGACCGTTATGACACACTAGGTTTCTGTTTTGTCCTTGAATCCCCAATAGACAATCATGACACAGTAGGTTCTGTTCTGCCCTTGAATCCCCAATAGACAATCATGACACACTAGGTTTCTGTTCTGTCCTTGAATCCCCAAAAGACAATCATGACACACTAGGTTTCTTTTCTGCCCTTGAATCCCCAACAGACCGTTATGACACACTAGGTTTCTGTTCTGCCCTTGAATCCCCAATAGACAATCATGACACAGTAGGTTCTGTTCTGCCCTTGAATCCCCAATAGACAATCATGACACACTAGGTTTCTGTTCTGTCCTTGAATCCCCAAAAGACAATCATGACACACTAGGTTTCTGTTCTGTCCTTGAATCCCCAAAAGACCGTTATGACACACTAGGTTTCTGTTTTGTCCTTGAATCCCCAATAGACAACCATGACACACTAGGTTTCATGATTGTTTATCGGGGGTTCAAGGTCAGAAAAGAAACCTAGAGTGCCATGATTGTAATTTTCAAAAGACAAATATGAGTGTAAATTGTCCGAAATAATACAGAACATCTTCGACGAGTAATTACTAAGGAGTACTCGAGTACTGAATTTGGTACTCGTTTCAGTCCTATATGTTAGGGGTGACCTACCTACATCAGGTATGTTTCACTTAGTGAACATTACATTACATAGTGAACTGTCGTCAATGTCCAACTCAACGGATATAAAAGGCGATGGGTTGCATGCAGAGTTCACTCAAAAAGATAGTAAACACAGAAAAAAATCACATTAGTCTTATTATTGTTATTGTCATGTTTGAAATTCCACAAATTGCATTTCCTGGTTCTTGGGTATTTCGAAAAAATAACCACCGAAAAAACCCTGTGTTTATTATTTTGTTTTGGATTTTTTAACCACTGGAGAAAGATTTATTCGGCCTCAAACACCACTATTAATGACGAACACATCTTTATCATCATCCAAAAATACTTAACTCTTTTCAAAAATTCGCGAAATGTACATATAACAATTCTTAAATATTTTGCATACATTCTAAGAAGTAACGCATTCGGGGGAAATAAATAACAGGGAAAACTGTATCTTTTACGGCACAGTTGAAACTAGATAATTTGAAATATATTCAACTCTATTAAGCCAGTACCTTACAGCTACCTTAAAAAGCGAAGCAGAGTTGATTTAGTCTTGCAGTTGACACTGTGCGAGGAGGATGCAGCTGAATTTGAGTGCAGTATGTTCAGATGTCTCTGGTGGTTCCTCATTGTTGGGATAGTGCCACCCTTAAAAAGGTTGAATGGAGCAAATCGTGCATTTATTTTATAGTTTTATCTTGTGACAGTTCGAAAAATGACCAGTTGAGCGGCAGTTGTCGTTCGCTGCCTCTAAGAAAGGGAGATAATTAGACCGAACAAGGGAGACAACTCTCCGAGGATTCGAAAGTAATTATTTACTATTCGAATAGTTATCACACCTGAATCGAACTCGAGTATCTTGGTTCCCGTTTCAGCCCTACTGATACACATTCGACTATGGCACACACTGACATGCGATTGAACAGATTCCCCTGTGTCTCTGTGACGTGAATCTTCTGGGTGGTAAATTCATACGAACGAATGAAAATAAATACACGTTTGAGTTTGTTTAGAAAAATGTGAATTCTTCTGTCTCGAAACTACTTATCTCAAAGTCTTGTTTTGATCCTGTCAGCCTACAGATAAGGAAAAAATCTAAGAAGACGCGTGGCAAGTTATTGCGAACCTGAAGCATTGTATTTTCACATATGCTTTATCAATATAGTTACAGTATTTCAAAGTTAAATCTTTTTTTTAAATCATTTACAAAAACATTTAACCATTCCCAGAGAAAAATGTCTGTATTTGATTTTGTTCAGTTGAAATTCCAGATGATTGTGACCACGCCTGATATAAGAATGTATAAGCCGACAGAAAGGTATGCTGTGCATGAAGATTGATATGAAAAGTATCCGTTAATGGTATGATCATTACTCAAGATCATCAATGTAGATATAGTTGTCTTAGCTTCAAAATAGTGTAGACGGTATTTCTCTTGTTCAAATAAAATCACACACGAATTTTTTACTTTTTTTTTCTTTTAAATTAAATCTGTCTTGCGAGCCACTCCCTTACATCAATGTTCGTTTTTGAAGAGCTTTCTATATCTACTTGACTGAACCCGCGTAAACAGTGTGGCGTTTCAAAACAGAAATATATATAAATTACCAGTGGATATCACGCCACTTGGGGATGTGCGCAGATTACGGGTTAGTTGCGAGGCAAATATCATCTGAAAATTCGTCTTATCGAACATTGTCGAGGGGGACCACACACAAAGCGTCTACCGCTGGAAACGTAACAGAGCGCTCTATTACAGCGTTTGTGAAATGAAAAGAGCATATTTTGATTAGCTATGTTTATTTGTACGTGTTTGATTTTAATGCATGTATGTTTGTATGTTTTAATGAGGTAAGACTGCTGCCTTCACGACTGTTTCCGAGGGAGGTTCGCACAATTTCCGCGTGACAAAAAGTGCAGTAATAGACATGTTTTTCTACAAGTGTGACTTACGAAGCATGCAGCGTTAACATACGAGTGCTGGCATGTTTGGCCAACTCGGAAATAAACATAAGATCATCTTGGTTTGATCTTTTTGTGTTAGTGGCACTGACTTGTCTAAACAATTTTAATCTTAAAAGAAAGTAAAAATAATTATTGCTTCCATCAATTTACGATTTCGTAAACATCATGATTTTGTTTTCTTTCGCAGCAGAGTTACGTTGAGTAATGGTTTTCTTTCAAGTAACTTGGGCAAAGGCTGGCAGCATAACATCTAGGCATCTAGAGGATGCCATTTGGAGTATGGGAATTTGCCTCTTCTGTGAAAACATTCAAACATATTTTGGGGAAACATCACGAATCTTTTGTCGTATATTTTTTCCTTGCCCATAGGGGAGCCTGGCCACATATAAAATGAACCTATGCAGCAATGCTACAGAGAACATATGAAGATTTCATCGTTGAATGCTTATATACATAATACTTCTCCCAATATCTGGCAATATCTTGTAGTTACTTGTCAGGGAGGATGGCTAGGGCAGTGGAATAGTTCCATGTCGGCTAAAACTCTTTTTCCCTTAGGTTGTGTGTCGGGGTGAGAAGGAAGGGGGTTGTGTGTCTGTCGGGGTGAGAATGTCTGTGTCGGGGTGAGAAGGAAGGGAGTTGTGTGTCTGTCGGGGTGAGAATGTGTGTGTGTGTCGGGGTGAGAAGGAAGGGATTTGTGTGTGTCGGGGTGAGAAGGAAGGGGGTTGTGTGTCTGTTGGGGTGAGAATATGTGCGTCGGGGTGAGAAGAAAGGGGGTTGTGTGTCTGTCGGGGTGAGAATATGTGTGTTGGGGTGAGAAGGAAGGGGGTTGTGTGTCTCGGGGTGAGAAGGAAGGGAGTTGTGTGTGTCGGGGTGAGAAGGAAGGGGGTTGTGTGTGTCGGGGTGAGAAGAAAGGGGGTTGTGTGTGTCGGGGTGAGAAGGAAGGGAGTTGTGTGTGTCGGAGTGAGAAGGAAGGGCTTTGTGTGTGTGTGTCGGGGTGAGAAGGAAGGGGGTTATGTGTGTCGGAGTGAGAAGGAAGGGGGTTTTGTGTGTGTCGGAGTGAGAAGGAAGGGCTTTGTGTGTGTGTGTCGGGGTGAGAAGGAAGGGGGTTATGTGTGTCGGAGTTTAGAAGGAAGGGGGTTTTGTGTGTGTCGGAGTGAGAAGGAAGGGCTTTGTGTGTGTGTGTGTGTGTCGGGGTGAGAAGGAAGGGGGTTGTGTGTGTCGGAGTGAGAAGGAAGGGCTTTGAGTGTGTCTGTCGGGGTGGGAAGTGGGGGGTTATGTGTGTCGGAGTGAGAAGGAAGGGGTTATGTGTGTCGGATTCAGAAGGAAGGGGATTATGTGTGTCGGGGTGAGAAGGAAAGGGGGTTGTGTGTGTCGGAGTGAGAAGGGAGGGGACTGTGTGTGTCGGGGTGAGAAAGAAGGGAATTGTGTGTGTCGGGGTGAGAAGAAAGGGGATTGTGTGTGTGTCGGGGTGAGAAGGAAGGGGGTTGTGTGTGTGTCGGGATGAGAAGGAAGGGGATTGTGTGTGTCGGGGTGAGAAGGAAGGGGGTTGTGTGTGTCGGGGTGAGAAGGAAGGGGGTTGTGTGTGTCGGGGTGAGTAGGAAGGGAATTGTGTGTGTCGGGGTGAGAAGGAAGGGGGTTGTGTGTGTGTCGGGGTGAGAAGGAAGGGGATTGTGTGTGTCGGGGTGAGAAGGAAGGGGGTTGTGTGTGTCGGGGTGAGAAGGAAGGGGGTTTGTGTGTGTCGGGGTGAGAAGAAAGGGGGTTGTGTGTGTCGGGGTGAGAAGGAAGGGAATTATGTGTGTCGGGGTGAGAAGGAAGGGGGTTGTGTGTGTGTCGGGGTGAGAAGGAAGGGGGTTGCGTGTGTGTCGGGGCGAGAAGGAAGGGAATTGTGTGTGTCGGGGTGAGAAGGAAGGGGGTTGCGTGTGTGTCGGGGCGAGAAGGAAGGGAATTGTGTGTGTCGGGGTGAGAAGGAAGGGAGTTGCGTGTGTGTCGGGGTGAGTTGAAAGGGAGTTGTGTGTGTGTCGGGGTGAGAAGGAAGGGGGTTGTGTGTGTGTCGGGGTGAGAAGGAAGGGGATTGTGTGTGTCGGGGTGAGAAGGAAGGGGGTTGTGTGTGTCGGGGTGAGAAGGAAGGGGGTTGTGTGTGTCGGGGTGAGAAGGAAGGGGGTTGTGTGTGTCGGGGTGAGAAGAAAGGGAATTGTGTGTGTCGGGGTGAGAAGGAAGGGGGTTGTGTGTGTGTCGGGGTGAGAAGGAAGGGGGTTGCGTGTGTGTCGGGGCGAGAAGAAAGGGAATTGTGTGTGTCGGGGTGAGAAAGAAGGGGGTTGCGTGTGTGTGTCGGGGTGAGTTGAAAGGGAGTTGTGTGTGTGTCGGGGTGAGAAGGAAGGGGGTTGTGTGTGTCGGGGCGAGAAGGAAGGGGGTTGTGTGTGTCGGGGTGAGAAAGAAGGGGGTTGTGTGTGTCGGGGTGAGAAGGAAGGAGGTTGTGTGTGTGTCGGGGTGAGAAGGAAGGGGGTTGTGTGTGTCGGGGTGAGAAAGAAGGGGGTTGTGTGTGTGTCGGGGTGAGAAGGAAGGGAATTGTGTGTGTCGGGGTGAGAAGGAAGGAGGTTGTGTGTGTGTCGGGGTGAGAAGGAAGGGGGTTGTGTGTGTCGGGGTGAGAAAGAAGGGGGTTGTGTGTGTGTCGGGATGAGAAGGAAGGGGATTGTGTGTGTCGGGGTGAGAAGGAAGGGGGTTGTGTGTGTCGGGGTGAGAAGGAAGGGGGTTGTGTGTGTCGGGGTGAGAAGAAAGGGGATTGTGTGTGTGTCGGGGTGAGAAGGAAGGGGGTTGTGTGTGTGTCGGGATGAGAAGGAAGGGGATTGTGTGTGTCGGGGTGAGAAGGAAGGGGGTTGTGTGTGTCGGGGTGAGAAGGAAGGGGGTTGTGTGTGTCGGGGTGAGTAGGAAGGGAATTGTGTGTGTCGGGGTGAGAAGGAAGGGGGTTGTGTGTGTGTCGGGGTGAGAAGGAAGGGGATTGTGTGTGTCGGGGTGAGAAGGAAGGGGGTTGTGTGTGTGTCGGGGTGAGAAGGAAGGGGATTGTGTGTGTCGGGGTGAGAAGGAAGGGGGTTGTGTGTGTCGGGGTGAGAAAGAAGGGGGTTGTGTGTGTCGGGGTGAGAACGAAGGGAATTGTGTGTGTCTTGTGAGAAGGAAGGGGGTTGTGTGTGTCGGGGTGAGAAGGAAGGGGGTTGTGTGTGTCGGGGTGAGTAGGAAGGGAATTGTGTGTGTCGGGGTGAGAAGGAAGGGGGTTGTGTGTGTGTCGGGGTGAGAAGGAAGGGGATTGTGTGTGTCGGGGTGAGAAGGAAGGGGGTTGTGTGTGTGTCGGGGTGAGAAGGAAGGGGATTGTGTGTGTCGGGGTGAGAAGGAAGGGGGTTGTGTGTGTCGGGGTGAGAAAGAAGGGGGTTGTGTGTGTCGGGGTGAGAACGAAGGGAATTGTGTGTGTCTTGTGAGAAGGAAGGGGGTTGTGTGTGTCGGGGTGAGAAGGAAGGGGGTTGTGTGTGTCGGGGTGAGAAGGAAGGGAACTGTGTGTGTCGGGGTGAGAAGGAAGGGGTTTGTGTGTGTCGGGGTGAGAAGGAAGGGGGTTGTGTGTGTGTCGGGGTGAGAAAGAAGGGAATTGTGTGTGTGTCGGGATGAGAAGGAAGGGAATTGTGTGTGTCGAGGTGAGAAAGAAGGGGGTTATGTGTGTCGGAGTGAGAAGGAAGGGGGTTGTGTGTGTGTCGGGGTGAGAAGGAAGGGTGTTGTGTGTGTCGGAGTTAGAAGGGAGGGGGCTGTGAGTTGGCGGGGTTGTAATCAGGTCTGCAAATTTTTTGCCCGTGAAAATCAACAATTTACAGTCACTGACACACGTATATTATTCCTTGTTTCAGTCCGTGTCACGTGACACCTGTTCAACATGAAGGGACCAATCACCGTTGAAAATACAAATAGCTGCCGCGAGCTTATTGTATTGGGTGTTGTTCCAAATAACTTATTAATGGCATAAAAACCGGAATTATGATAACTGAATAATTACAGATGAATTATTAGAGCTATTAATATTCATCTCTCCAATCATATAAATTAATAATTTAGGGTAGGGATTTTATAATCTTAAAGAGAACATTATGCAATTGAGGACTACACCAATTTTAACTTTCTCCGGAACCCTGTTAATAGAACAATACTTTTAACTTTAATGTTTTCGTTCCCAATATTTTTGAACATAATGACACCCAAAGGGATTTTTATCAATGTTTCATTTCTTTTGTACTTAAACGCCTAAATTCATTCTGATTATCAATTATTTTCCCTCTCTCTCTCTGAGTTATTAGTCTCTCGCTAAGAGTCTACACGTCATTACGCTGTTTCCTCTATAGAGGTGAGGTGAGGTGAGGTGAGGTGAAATGGAGTTTAACGTCGCGTCCAAGATTATTGCACTTATGTAGCGACGTGCATGCACGTGTGTGTGTGTGTGTGTGTGGCTGCTTGTACCTTTCCAGACTGATGCCGATTTATAGTGCTAGCCCACTGAGATACCATGCCGCAGTTTGACATGAATACCTCACTCAGACACAGTATACTGACTCCGAGCCGACCAGTCCTTGTTTCAGCCCCTTAATGCCGAGCGCCTGACAGGGTGACAACAAGTACCATCTTGTAACGTCTTTTGGTATGACGCGGCTGGGGATCGAACCCCGGACCTTCCGCTCTCCGGGCGGACGTTCTACCATTAGATCACGGAGGCGGTCCTATAGATTTAAGGTTCATATCAATGTAGAACTTGCTATTATTCTTTCCAAACGAAACTACTTCATAAATAACTGTCGGTTATTTGAAAATCGTATTACAGTTCCGATACACCCTCGCATGTAATAATTATCGTGTTTAAGAATTAAATTTACCCTATATATTATCAATATATTAAATGATAATATATATTAAATTTTGATAAGAGTGAAAATGTTCGCTCTGTTGTTAAATTTCTATATCACATGTATCGGTTGTACAACAGTTAATTATGCCCTCACCTCGCGTGACTAAGCTTATATCATCAATTAGTTGTACTTTAGGCCATTAGGCCTTTTGTACTGAATAAACATCTATCTATATCCTCGCATAAACTCGAGTGAGTGAGTGAGTTTTCAACAGTATTTCAGTTAGTATACCAGCGTGTGTGGGGTAGTTGGTATTTTGGGGGAATCGCAGCACGTCTAAAATGTTTGTATTGTGTTTTCCATTTGCCTTTGCATGTGCTTGTGACCGGTGCCACTGATGGGACCGGGTACTCTTACCAGACTAAAGAGAATAAATTGAAAAAGGAGTCCAACTCAAGTCTAGAATGATTTGGCATTCTAGATTGATTCAGGTCTAGAAATTAAGGATTGTTCAGGGCTCGAATTGGATTTTATTGTGTTTATTTTGTAGATATATATTCTTTTAAATAAGATAACGTTATTTCTGGGACTTAATGTCAGTTTAACCTGGTACCATCACTATTTGATAGTGATTCATAAACATATGCTTATGATATAGTCGGAATCGTACAATGGACAATTATTTTCATGAATATGGAGAGGGTTTTGTCGCTGTTTTGCAAACGAATGGAATGACAATACGGCAGTTTTCTCGAAGTATATGGAACCAGAAGGCTACTTCGACTGAGAAACATAAACAGGCGAGACGTATGTTGGCACAGTGGGTGGACATTTGTGGTGATCAGGATCGAGTCCAACATAGTCAACTGGAGGTGGAAATGTTTCTATCCATGAATTAATGAATAAAATCTTAATTACATTCAGTCAATATATAAGACGTTATATTTGTTATTAATGCTGCTGCTGCTGCTGCTGCTGCTGATGATGATGATGGTGTGATGATGATGAAAGAGGATACAAAATGTGACGTAGAAGTGGAGCTGATAAAAAATCCTTTTAATCGTTTTACCTTAGCCAATTCTTTTTTTGTGAATTAAATGCGTTGAAAGTGAATCCGAACGCGCAAGTTACTTTCGAATGTATCCATTTTCAATTTCCTACAGATGATAACAGTTCTACAGAAGGCCCCGCTTTCTGGGTGGCGGCTTGGTTTATGAAAGCCCAGTTGGGACATCCTTGACAGGCGACACGAGGTAGGAACACATTCCAGCTGATCTACAAATTCCTCGTACCCTGTAGATCAATATGGGGAAATAAATTCCCCGTCGTCATCGGCGAGATACGCCTCGGGAAATAAATAAACCGTCGTCGACAACGGGTGACAAATTGCGCAAACATTCGCTGAGGCCATAGCCTAGGAGATTTCATTCTCTGATCGCAAAAACAAAGAGCCGATTAGCACACAGAGTAAACTCCCAGGGACAACATGCTAAAATAAAATAAGCAGACGTCCATCAAGTTGCATTTTTTCTGATCACGTGACCTAGCTACGGCAGGGTGGGTCTCGAGCCGGCTTCACGTTGCTTTCAATGGCAGGGGAGAAATCCTAGCCGTGTCAGATTCCGTTGACATTCTCATATATGTAAACAATGAAATGAACTTGTCTTAACCTACATGTCTTAATAAATGTGGCAATATTTCTGGCTCAAGCATGTTGTTTGTGGGCCTTGTTCTTGTACAACTGTCTGCTCGTGCCAAACCTGCCCAAGACCTGTTGTCGAAAAATCAGAGTATCACTTTGTGGCATCGATGAAAAATGGCGCTGAGTGATTTTTAAACACTCCCTCGCCTATGCCGGTTGCCACTTGACTCCGACCTGACTTGTACGTGTGTGGTCTTATGATCATTGCGCAACTCATACGCGCAGCACGCGCGCCGCCATTGCCCTTAGAAACCGGAAGTGTGGCGGACATGGGTTCTCAAAGAGGGCAGGTCCGCAGAGAATTAAGCTTTTGTGTGATGCATATTGTTTATAGTGATGCTTTTTCAATAATATCCTGAGGGGTGTTATGAGAAAATCAAACAAATTTCAAGAGGTAAAAGGCGTTTTTCGTGCTTTTAAATACACACAGACGTGCTTGTGCATAATTCGTAATCATACTGTGGATCCAAGTTGATGCGGGCAGTGCCTGTGCTGAAACCATGATGTGATGGTTGTCGCCCTAGGGTTCGATTATCACATTTTGCGGCTGCTCTTAAGAATATTTGGCATATTCGTTGAGTATAGCTCCAAAGAGATTGCAAATGGCTTCAGAAATAAACCCAGGACTTCAAACAAATATCCCGTGCTTGAACACCCCCGAGCTCGGGAGTAGGGCGCCGCCTTGGTGATGGTGGTTTATTATATGTACGGCTTCGTATCTACACAAGTCAGCCTCAACACTTTGGAACTCTTTCCCCAACATATGTCACGCCATTGTTTTGATTATCTGTCTCACTTCAGGCAACTGCGTTAAAACAACGCTGGACCTACAACAGGAACTTATAAAGGAACTTATAAAGAGAAGCTTTTAGAGTCTCTCATTTTCAAACATTCTTTTCAACACATGAATGGTATATGAGGTTATATTTCATGTGCTCGGCGACTGTAGATTCGTAGTCACTGTGTATTTTTTGTTGGCATCAATTTTATCAAAGGGGCCAATCTGGCTCTGGTCACACCCCGATATATGCATTTGCATCAAGATGTGTGCGTGTATGAATTTGGCTGTAGTCAAACCGGCGTTATTAAATTGTACATGAGGCCACCCAACGGTTAAGTCAAAGTAAATTGTATAGAAAACGTTACCTTGAACCAAATGAACACATCACAATTTACCTGTTTGATAATTTATATATATTGCATGGGAGTAAAGAAAAACAGTTCTGAAAAAGTGAACCTTTGTTAACGAAATACCAAGGACCATCGACAATATATCTATAGGCCAGGACAAGGGGAAGGTCAGTAATAGCCAAACGTAGTGATATGAAGCTGTCCGGATCATATGGTTCTATCATCTCAAACTTTATTTCGAGTTAATGGCGTTCGATTGTAGATCTAGATACTGTATGCATGCAGGGGTTAGAAACTGTAGGTCTATATAGTGTATGCATACAGGGTTAGACAGTATATAGGGGCGGTCGGGTAGCCTAGTGGTTTAAGCGTTCGCTCGTCACGCCGAAGACCCGGGTTCATTTCCCGACATGGGTACAATGTGTGAAGCCCATTTCTGGTGTTCCCCCGCCGTGATGTTGCTGGAATATTGCTAAAAGCGGCGTAAAACCATACTCACTCACTCACTCACTAGACAGTATATATATTTTTATATGTATAAGCATGAAAGGGTAAAATAGCTAGGATATATAATAATTATGATGACGACGGTCTGTAAATAATCGAGTCTGGACCATGCCATGAGCATCGATCCATGCAATTGGGACACGATGACATGCATCAAACTAGTCAGCAACCATGACCACCCGGTCCCGTTAGTCGCCTCTTTCGACAAGCATAGTCTCCTTTTACAGCAAATATGGGTTGTTGAAGACCTATTCTACCCCGAATCTGAGTGTGCCAGGATCACTCAAACCCTCTTTGCTGCATTTGTTAATTTTAATCAGTAAATAATAAAAATAATAGTCCATTATTTCTATGGCGCTGTACTGCATGCTCTAAGCGCTTAGACATTATTTCTCTGGTAAGTGGATCAACAATCATTCTCAGCGGCTTGTGAGGCGCTGGTATAGCTGTATCATGTATTTATTGTGCGAGTAGTGCGATCTTGTCTGTGAAGTTGGTGGTTAGCCTGAAGTGATGCAAGTTGGTTACACCTACGAGCTGTCCGAGGTTCATAATCGGAGAAAATCCGATCCAAACCCCAAAACAGAGGATCATGAAAGATATAGGGGGTAATTCAGCACAGTTTCGACGCTTTCTTCTGGCCCACCGTGCCCCCAACGGATTGCGTGTGTGAGTGTGTGGGTGAGTGAGTTGGGTTTAACACCGCTTTTAACAGTATTCCAGTTATATCGCGGCGTGTCAGCTTAATGTGGGAGGAAAGCCCGAAGTGATGCAGGTCTCAGACGTTTACCACTTCGGTGAAACCCACGAGCACGGGTATGGTGCTGACAAACCTAGAAACATAATCGGGGCGAACCGGGATTCCAACCTACAATCATAGGTTTCTGGCGTGCCCAAGGGACGCAACTCTGCACAGCAAATCGCGGCGCCTTAGACGACTGGGCAAACCGTGCCCCCCATTCCGTGTGTGACATATTTGCATACAGTTGTTAACGGAGTGCTTACAGCTTGGGTGGCTACTCGATTTTATATTCATGATGTATTTATCAGTTGTTTACTTTTTCACTCACACAGCATAGATCTGTCGTCGGGGCCAATAACCCAGGACATAGCTGTATCTCTGAATTCGGACACACTACCTTTCCACCGAAAGGAGTTAAGTCTTTACATTTAAACCAGTTATAGACTCGGCGTTTATGTTCACATAAATCGTTGCAGCAGTATTTATGATGTATTTTTATTAGTTAGTTGGGGGTTGTTGCAAAAACAATTTTAAATATCTTTATATAAAGTGGCAATTTTTCTGAAGGTTACACTGGTGATTATCTCGACAGAGATATCTTTGTTTATATATGAAACCTATTTGAGATGTCATTGTTTATACACGAAATACTGTTAATAATAAATTATGTTTACAAAATACGAAAATCACAAACAACCAAATTCATGTCTTTAAACTTCATAGTATTCATTTTGAATACCTACTACCTGACTGACAAGTTCAATGATGGATACCTTAATATACAGAACAATTCAACCCTAGTGCATTTATCCCGTGTTTCATGTTTATCAATAAACAATATACAGGAAATGGCCCAATAATACCGTCCATTTACGCCGCAGTATTCAGGGCAGACGACAAGCAGGGTACAGAGATGGCAGCCAGAGGGAGGCTGAGACATGGGAGTGTTTGCTCAATTTTCCTTTCAATTTAACCGAAACAATATTTTGTCAAAAATCAAGCTGTACCGTGCATTGAGGGACCACTTGCCAAAACAGTCACCCAAATAAAGTAAATTGTTGTAATTTACCAGGAAAGCCCCTGTGAATGAGAAGGGCGGGGGTTGGCTTTGTCCCGACGGTGGGATGTTTGGCGGATACACATCCCAACTGGAACAGCTATACCAGGGAAGGACTTCACGTCAACAGTCAACAAACACCATAATTAATTTGTATATATTCAAATAATGACGCACCTGGACAGGTGCGCAGGCAACAGTGTTGGCTTTTCAGAAAGTGACCAGTCGTCATTGAACACAGAGGAACATGACAATGAATGAAGTTTAATGAGAGTCATTAAAGTAGCCGTTCCTGTCCTGGCTTTATTTGCATGAGTAAAATGAGTGTATTTTCCTCCCGTGATGGGGAACGATGTTCTATTGTTCCTCTACACCTGTGAAGGGACTTCATCGCAGGCTGGCTTCCGCAACTTCATCCTTTCTGGAGTGAGCAGCGAAAATAAATACAGCTTTAGACATGTAAACAACTTTCCTGATGTATAAACACGGCTTGATTGTGGCATTGGAAACTGAATATATTTTAGCATCCAGGTTGGTTTAAGTTGGTGGGTTTGGGTTGAATGGACCTTTGACCAGTCAGGTAAGCGATTCACGCAACCCCTGGAATCACACACCACGTCTTGTTCAGGCCCTGACCACACCAACAAACAACAACAGAATCTGGATGTGTACTAATCTCATAGTCCCGTTATGTAACGTGACCCCTACACAGTGCAGGCGTTCGTCCCGCTAACTAGCATCATGCCTCGAACGTTTAAGAACACGTTACTCCATAAACGGCTCAAAACTGTATGACAAGAGGGATAACTTTCAACTTATCAAGAGTAAATTTCCCTTTTATGTCGAGCAATATTCTCAAGGGCGGATCCAGCATCCAGGGGTCCATAATATCAAAATTCTCTCATTTAATTTTACTGCCTACAACATGGTTTTCGGGGGGGGGGGGGGGGGGGACTCCCTCGACACCCCCACCCCCACCTACTGTGGGTCCGCCTATGAATCATGCAG